TATTAAAGAATTACAAAAATTAAAAAATATTAGAAACTACGAAAAAATCAAAAAATTACCGAATTTGCAAAGATTCCTCAAAAAATTAAGTACGGAAATCACAAAAATTAAGAAAAGTATAAAAATTTCATTACAAAATTACGGAAAATATAGAATTAATAAAAATAAATTGAAAAATTATAAAAATTTCAAAAATTACAGGGATTGCGAAAAAATGAAAAAAAAAAAAAAAAAATCGGAAAAGCAAAAATCACGGGTATTTTGAAAAATTACGGGAAATACATTAATTATTAAAAAACTGAGAGGAAAATTAAAAAATTACAAAAAATCGGGTATTACAAAAGCAATGAAAATAAGTTTGAAAAATACTGGAAATTCAAAAATTATGTATAATTACAAAAATAATTGAAAAATTACGTAAAATACGGAAACTACAAAAAAATAACAAAAATCATTAAAATTGCAAAAATCATGAAAATTTGAAAAAAAAAACAGCACTTACAATTATTGAAAAATTAAGATGAGAATTGCAAAATTACGAATAAAACCCGGAATGGAAATATTTATGTAATGGAAATTATTTTAAAAAATTACGGGAATTTCAAAAACTACGTGAAATTGCAAAAATCATTGGCAAATTACGGAAATTACGGAAAAATTACAAAAATCACGAGGATTACAAAAATTACGACAATTAAAAAAATTATGTAGAACTGCGAAAATCATGGGTAAATTGCGAGAATTAAATTTGTAAAAAATTAGGAGAATTAAAAAATTACGAAAAAAATCACGGGAATTTCAAAAATTATTAAAATTTCGAAAACATTGGAAAATAACGTATTACGAAAAAATAACAATAATTACGAGAATTGCAAAAATCACGGAAAAGTTACAGAAACCACCATTATTAAAAACTAAAAAGGAGAATTATAAAATTTGAGTATTACAAAAGCAATGGAAATTATTGGCAATTTCAAATTTTACGTAGAACTACAAAAGTTATTGATAAATTACGTAAACTACAGGAATTATAAAAATGAAAAATAACGAATATTACAAAAAATCACGGAAATTTCGAAAAAATACGGGAATCACAATTATTAAAAAATTAGGAGAATTATTATAAAATTACGAAAATTATTGGAAAATTACGTAATATGGAAAAATATTAACAAAAATCACAAAAATTTTAAAAAAATCACGGAAAATACATTAAGTATTAAAAAAATTGAGAGAAGAATTATAAAATTAGAAAAAAAATCGAGTATTACGGAAAACAATGAAAATTATTGAAAAAAATTACGCGAATTTCAAAAATTACCTATAATTTCAAAAAAATAGGAAATTACGTTTTTTGAAAAAATAATAAAAATCACGAGAATTTTAAAAATAACGGAAATTTCAAAAACTTACGGGAATTATCATTATTGAAAAATAAAATAAAGAAATTACGGGAATTAAAAAAATAACAGAAATCACGAAAATCATAAAAAATTACGGAAATTAGGAAAATCATAAAAAAAATTAGGACAATTAGAATAATTATAGGAATTGCAAAAATTACGGAAATTACGAAAAATTGAAAAAAAAATATCGGAAATAACACAAAAATTAAGGAATTTGTTAATTAACGAAAATGAAGGGAATTGCAAAAATTGCAGAAATTACAAAAAATTTCGAAACTACCGAAAATAATTAAATTTTTAAAAAATTATGGAAATTAGAAAAGTTACAAAATTTACGAAAATTCTGGAAATAAATCACGGAAATTTATTAACGAATTGCAAAAATCGAAAAAACCTATGATGATTTTCAAAAATTTAGAAAATAACAAGAATTACAAGAATCAGGAATCACAATTACAAAAATTATAAAGACCTTCGGGAAATTATAAAATTTCCAAAAACGTCCAAGAAATTTAAAAAATTACGACAATTGAAAATTGAATTGAAAATTACGAAAACTATCAAAGTTACGAGAATTATAAAAAATTATGGGAATTACGAAAAAGTTACGGGAATTACGTGAATTAGAAATTAAAGTTACAAAAATTACGAAGGCTTTCGGGAAACGATACAAATTTTGAAAAATGCCCAGAATAAATACAGAAATTACGGGAATTACCTACTAATTTTCGAAATATACAAGTACATGGAATTAATAAAATAACGGAGTTTTCTGAGAAACTACGGGAATTAAAAAATTACGAAAATTTCAACAACAGGAATTGGTAAGAAATTATAAGAATTATTTGAGAAATGACAGGAATTAAAAAATTTCTAAAGAAAAATTACGAGAATTACGAGTCTTCGAAAATTACAAATTTTGCTATAATGAGCTCTTTATTTTCTTCTTTTTCTGGAAAATTTTCACAATTTTCTTGCCAGTTTCCCGGTTGTAAAAGGGCGAATTTTGCCTAAAAAAGTCAATTTCCCAGAATTTCTCCTGGAGTGATTTTTGACTGGAAAATTTTGAAATTTTTCTATAATGAGCTCCTCACTTTTCTTTTTCTTCTGGAAACATTTCACAATTTTCCTTTTGCCAGATTTCTAGAAAAAAATTAAAATGTAAGAGGATGAATTCTCCTTAATTTTGCTTAAAAGTTAGTTTTTCAAAATTTTTTCTGGAGTGATTTTTTACTGAAAAAATTTTGAAATTTTCGTAAAATAAGCTTCTAATTTTCCTTTTATTACTGGAAAATTTTCAAAATTTTCCCTTTGCCAGTTTTGCAGAAAAAAATTAAAATGTAAGAGGTGAATTTTCCTTAATTTAACTTGAAAAAGTCAATTTTTCAGAATTTTTCCTGGAGTGATTTTTTACTGGAAAACTTTGAATATTCGTAAAATGAGCTCATCATTTTCCTCTTATTCCTGGAAAAATTTTAAAATTTTCTCTCTGCAAGTTTTCCAGAAAAAATTAAAATGTAAGAGGGTGAAATTTTTTTAATTGCTTAAATAAGTCAATTTTTTAGAACATATTTGAGATTTCAGTCGTAAAAAAAAAGAATCACTGTTTATCGTTTGTACATGATATTTAGGAACACCCTGTATAATACGCAGTTAATTAATTTATTTTCTACTTTACTATTATAGATCCATAATACCTAGGAAACGAAATACGTTAACACACCTATAACAACCTGATCCATAACGCCCGCTTTTGCGGGCGTTATGATCTATAACGCCCGCTTATAATACCTTAAGGTGTTTTTGTTGTTGTTGTTCTATTAATTTGCACTTTACCCTAGGCAGCCACTAAATGTCTGACCGAAAATAATTTTCGGTCTAGCCAGGATTCGAACCCGGTCTACCATCAATGTTTCCCATGTAGTCCAGCGCGTTAACCCACAGGACCACCACCGTTGCCTTGCCTTATGAGATGTTTATAGATATATTAATGTATTTCGTTTCTATGTACAGGTCGCAGGTACAGGTACAGGTCACAGGTACAGGTACATGTCAAAATACAAAACAATATTCTGTCACACAAGTTTAACTGATTTTGTTAATAACAAATTGATGAAAAAATATTGTGTTGAGTAGAAAATAAAGCATTGTATGCACCACGGGGATTTCAAGATTATAATGCCCTTCAGGCGAAATATATCCCTCGGGCCATAGGCCCTCGGGCTAGTTTCGCCTTCGGGCATTATAATCTACATAATCTCCTTGGTACATAAATAGCTATTATATTATATATTTGGGACTCTAATGATTTTATAAGAGCCGGTATCTCAATGTCACCTTAAGATGTAGAATAAACACAGACATTGACAACATTGTCTGACTTTGTTCGATTACGTCATCCTAAATATAACATAAAAACCCTATACTTTAGGGTAAGTCTTGATTTTAAGGTAGTATTGTAATACCGGCCCCGGTTGAAATTTTTTTTCCATAACAGTAATAATTGTCAACGTGCTCTATGAATTAATCAACGACAAATACTTTTTTTAAATTATGACGCCATCGATGACGTAAGTAAGTACAAAAAGTGCAAAAAATATACATAAAATAATTTGGTTGCACTAATTTTTTATATAAGTGTTAGGTAGTGTTATGGTGGGATGCCGAATAGGAGTGCTAATTTTTGCTTTAGGGGTGCTTAGCACCCCCAAGCACCCTCCTAGTTGCGCCTATGCTCTTCCCTCAAGGAAAGAAATTTTGAGCTCGAATGAAAATAAGAAGCAATTGATTAGACTCATTTAACAAGACTAGCAAATACAGGTTTATTTTGACAGGCCCAGAAAAAGCACCCTACGACATTTATCGTGAAGAGGTGAGACGAAGGCATGACCTAAATACCAACGAAGAAGCAGGTATGATTCTTGTACAGCAACTTTTTCTAGCTGCTAATGATAGAGGTTGTCGTCATATCAAATGACACAGATGTTTTTTTGCTTCTTTTGTACTTTTACAACCTTAAGAAGACACCTGCAACAATTTTAATGGAATTCCCTGTCCAGGGTTGTACAAAAATTGACATTGGAGCGTCTGCTATTGAACACGAAAATATAATATCTGATGTGCTATAGCGCATCATGCTATTACTAGTGTAACGAAGTTACTTTATTTTCAACGTTCGTATTTTACATCAGAAATTTGTCATTGTTTTTTCGAGCTCAAATGGTTAAATTATAACACTATTGTCAGTGGAATTATTCTGTCGCGAAAAGATTGATTTCCTTGAAATTTTTCTAATGGGTAGGTGGTTACTAAACGTAAAAAAATACCATTTTTCCAAAAATTATACAAAACACAGGATGTTCCATTTTAAAAACAGTTCATTCATGACGTAACTTTTTGGTTTTTGATTCAAATGATTTTTTAGTACCATTCTCCAGAAAAAAACAAATACATATTTTAATTGGCTACTTTGAATTTTTTCAAAAATACAGGGAATGTCAAACATAAGTCCTCGTTGGTATAATAACAAGTCTACCGATTTCTCTCAGACATATGAAGGAACTAATGAATTGATTGATGCTTTATTAATTTCAGGTTCTTCTCTGGTAAAAATCATCATGTCCCAATGCGCCTGCGTGAAAAAGAAGAAACCGGTAATCAACGAAGATGAAGAATTTTCGGACAGCTCCAAATCGGACATCGATATGGCCACAGCACCCTGTTTAAACAAACCCAAACCACGAAGACAGTTGAGCTTCAAGATCGGCAACTTTCGAAGACTGATCCCGGACAGGATATTGCAGTGTTTCGGACAGGACGAGATCGAAATGACTAAATTGGAAAAAAGTGAGTCATTCAAACAACATTTGCATTTTTCACCCCTCGAATAACTTATACAGAATCTTATTCAATGAATTTTATTTATTATTCAAATGGACAAAGAAAATTTGCATCCTTTTATTTGCTTTAGGTGAAATTAAATGGGAAACTTTGCGAGGGTTGAATTGAAGTATGTTTTATTTCACAGATTTGTCGTGTCTCTGGGTCGATATTTTCCCATCGAGAGTTTTTATTTATTTTCAGCCCGCTCAAAGTTTCAGCTGTGATGTCAGGAATTAGCTTTGAAACACTCAATTGATGGAACTTGAGAATCTTACTTCTATTCACAATTTCAGGCAAAAAGTTGATAGCATTTCACTTTTCGGATTAGTTTACGTAAAATCAAAGGGACATTTCTTCTCTTGATTTCAAAGGCTTCACCAATTGGGTATTAGAATTTTGTCTTGTCTAAGAGTAAAGAATTAATTTCCATGTGTTAATTATTGTTTAGACCGATAAAGGACGTGAGTTTTTGAAAAATAAAAAGTTGTCCAAATTCCGATGCATTTAATAAATGATTTTCCTCTGAACAAAAACCATCTTTATCTCAGCAACCTTATAAAATTCCCGTCTTATAACGTTGGATCGGTTTTATACTCTTATTTTAGAGCTAAATTTTATACGGTTTCAGCTCATATATAAAACGGTTTATTAGAGTTTGTATAAAAAAGTTGCGAGATCGATACATTGGATATGGAAATTCGAAAAATAATTTTCCATATGTTGAAAACCGGGATTTGTTTGATCAAATCCTTCCAAATTGGCCTTTTGTGTTACGCTCCAATTAAAAAAAAGAAGTTGACGTGTGTGTGTGTGTGTGTCAAATACAGAGTTTTCCTCTCGTTTATCAACTTTCAGCGCAAGGAATAATTGCCTATTATTCCAAAATTTATTATTATTCAACTAACAGCTTTATTGAAATTTCATTATTTGAATATATTTGATACAATTGGATATAGTAAAAAACTCAAATTGTTTGTATAACGAATTAATAAAACCCAAAAACACGGATTCTCGTTTCAATAATCGATCAAATGCCCTGACAATAAAAGCGTGGATTTTATGGGAATTTTTATCGGAATAAATCTAATTAGGTACTGACAAAGGTTTGTATGTTAAAAAAGAATTCCAAAGAAACTGCACTTGTTCAAGAAAATTTATTCAAATAATTATTGATTTTCATGAATATCAACCTTTTGATGTTTTGTGCAGTTTTGCAAATGATATTTATAAATTTACATTTCATGTGACCAAACACTAAATTATCCTCCAATGAAATGAAACAATAACTTTTGTTTTCCCTTGTATTTCTTGTCTATAGAAATCGGCACTGCTGTTAGTTATATTTAACCATTTTGCCGCATTGCATGTCCGGCATTTTGGCTCCACCAAAGTCTTTTATTATAACTCATTTGATATAGCTGCGATAAGGGCAATATTCTATAAAAAGCTTGAAAAAAAAAACCATATATCCACTTCAGTTTCGAGTAACAAAACTCTGACAAGTCTTATTTTGTTTCGCTGACACAGATTCAAATTGTATACGTGACCGAGAAATTGAGATGTAACGTAGTCAGCATTTAAATTCGACCGAAACCCGAGGGCTATTATTTCGTCTGGACGTGATTTTAATTTAAATAGTATCGCAAACCTAACGGAACTAATCATTGGGACTTTATCAAGGTTGTATCATAACCGACATAGTTAAGGAACAAAATGAGAATCGAAAATCAATGTAACTTGTACAATCGTTCCCTTGATGTGAGAAGTTTTGTAACTAGAAAAGGTGACAGAGAATGACTGTTTACACTCTGAACACCTATTTCTTCTTTGTTGTCGAATACTTGATAGGGTGCCTACTAACACTATGTAGTAATCCTTTTCATGGTCCTTCGAGCAAAAAGTTGAACAGAAGCAAAGGACAACTCCCTGGAAAAAAGAGAGTTACAGTGAAATTACTAGCAAGCCGGTTAATCAGTCACCGACAACAGCCCAATCAAGGACACACCGACGGATCACATGCACCAGCCACCGCTGTCCATCCTCAACTTCAAAAGAACTTCAACGTCAATCCAATCTCATCTCCAATTCACAGTCTCACCTTCAGCCTCAAATCTCAACTCTAACAAGCAGACAATCTGTCACCATCAGTAGATCGATACAATCATTCCACGAAATAAGGGCACCAGGTGACAGCCCACAGCAGATACAGAAGTTCGTAAAAAAAACAGCCCCACGCAAAATATCTACCGTAGGCAAAGAAATGGACCGCTTTGCACTGGAACAGCAACAACACGGGCGAGACATGCAACGTATGCTGTTGAAAGATTCATCAAGCCGAAAAACAATCCAATACTTCGAGGGAAAAACCAAATTGGTGGAATCATTATGGACCACAATCCATGAGAACCACAAGAAGATCAACGAATTGAGTTGCCCCACCCGCAATTACCACACCGCCAAATACATTAAACAACTCAAAAAGGTATATACTGACACAGTGGACTACATAGAAGACGGTATGAAAAAAGTCGAAGCCCAAACAAAACAGAACGAGATGACATCAAAACTAACAGCACTGCTAAACCAGATGAGAGAAGTCCTAAACGACACTGTTGCAGAAATGAATGATAACACCCCAATCAACCGCCGTCAGCATCTCCAATGCAAGATTTCGAACCTATACCTTCAACTCGAAATCCAATCGGTTCATAAACCGTACAAGTCCGCATACAAGGCACTTGAGAAACAACACGAGCAGCAGTGGCGGCTCGTGACTATTTCAAGTGAGGAGGCTGCTTACAGTATAGGATTTCATGAAATTCCTCGGAATTCTACTAAGATTTCAATTTCAAAAATCCATATTTTTTTTTTAACTTTTCTAAAATTCCTCAAAATTTTACCACTGAAATATCCTGGAATTCCACAAAATTTTCATAAAATTTTTTGGAATTTCATGTAATTTTTTAAAAATTTATCGGAATTCACTAAAATTTTATGAGAATATCCACGTTCATAACAGAAAATTTCTCGAAAGTCCAATGAAACTTCAAGGAATTTTCAAAATTTAATTTATTTTCATAAGAATTTTTGGGAATTTCATTGAAATTCTCTTTTAATAGCCAGGAATTTCTGGGAATATTAATGAAGTTTAAAGTAAGTAAAAATTCATCGAAATATATTGAAATTTCATGTTATTACATATATATATGGAATATCACCGAAATTCCATGTTTTTAGTTGGAAATTCCTCGGCATTACTAAAATTCAGTAAAAACTGAAATTTCATGTTAGGATTTCGTGTAATTCGATCGGAATTTCACTGAAATTTCTAGTAATTCGAGAGGAATTAAAATTTAATGTGAATTCTATGGAAACTCCGCAAAAACTTCACATCTAATTCCTTTTTCAGAATAACATAATTATTCTACCGAAATTCCACTAAATTATGGAATTCTGAGATTTTAATAGATTTTTGGGGATTCCAAAGGATATTTGGGAATTTTAAAGGAAATATTTTTCAGAAATGTCAATGATTGGGTTTAAAATAACCTATAAATCGAGATTTCATAAAAACATATGGCAACGCTGCTCATGATACAACAAACGTCAAAAAATTGAAATTTCAAACCTTGGGTTTTTTTGACAATCGATACAAAATGACGTCTTTTTGTTCCAAAGATTACGGCCCGAAGGGCCGGAGTATGAAAAATCAGTTAACAATAAACGGGTTCGTTCGGATAAAACTTTTGTCGCACGACACTTTGGCAATATCGACAAATGTCACCTGTCAAATTTGACACATGATCGACTTTTTGCCCGCTCTACTATGAAAGCTACGAAAATCAAACCCCGGTACAAGGCAGTTTCACGACGCTAACTATCGATTTGTGTAAAAAAAAATTGACAGCTGTCAACGTCAAAAAAGGTTTTTTTTTTATTTTGCGAATTTCGAGGAAAAAAGTGATAGAAAACGATCCCCGGACCCCAAAAACCTTAAATAAAAATTCCACAAAAAAAAACCAACGAAAATGAAATTCCAAAACCTACTTGATAAACCTAAAGTTTTTCTCACTTACTCCGTTAAAACACTGGAAATTTTTTGTGGAAAATGAAGAAAACTCAAAATGTCGTACTTTAAATCGGTTTTTCCGACCAGAAAAGCCCTGGAAAACCGGACAAATTCAAAGAAAAACCTCTAAAAATAACATTCCAAAGCCTACTTAATGAAATTTGAGTTTTTGTCACTTACCCCATTGGAAAACTGGGAATTTTTAGCACAAAATGTAGGAAATTCAAAGCCTCGTATTTCAAATCGGTTTTCTTGACTGAAAACGGCTTGGAAAAGCGGAAAATTCGAGGTAAAACTGGATAGAAATGTAAACACGTCAATTAAAAATTGCCGACTGTCAAAACTGGCAAATGACATTTATTACCTATTTGAAGTTCGTACAAACGGTGTTGCCACATCAAAATTTCCAAAAAAACCATTTTAAATGGGATTTTGTTATTTATGTCATTTTAAAACTGGACATTTTTGCTAGAAAATGAAGAAAACTCAAAGCCTCGTATGTTAAATTGCCTTTTTCCATTGAAAAGCCCCGGAAAAGTGAAAAATTCGAGGAGAAACTGGCAAAAAATTACAAGGCGTCATTTCAAAATGGCCAACTAAAAGCAACGTTGTCACATCTCATTTCGGAAAACAAAAATAACAATTTGAAAGGGTTTTTTATTTAAAATTCAATTTAATAATTAATTGATAATGGTTATAATAATTAAAATTCCCCAAATAAATCATAGGAAACTTGTGTTTAGTTTAATTTCAATGAAAATGACATTACAAAGTTTACTTGTTGATTATAGTGAGTAAGACAAAGACAATGATAAAGTAGTATATGTTTGCAAAAACCACCGTTTTCTGAAAAAAGTAAAAATCTTAAGAAAACCAACATTCCAAAGCCAATTTG